AAGTTTCGTACTTTGTACATTTTAGCAAATGAAGAAAATCAATGCGACTGACATAAGCATTAGCTCCCCACTACACCCAGTTATCTTATCACAATATTGTTATTTAGACACATTTGGACAGAGTATAGGCTGGTTACAAAGATAGATGACATGTCTCCCACTTCCTTCCACAATTCAAAATTGACGCTAAAATAACCCGGATATGAGTGCTGCTATCTTCTGCTGATGACATCGTTTGGAGCCAGAATCTGCGCAGTAGTAATTGAGGATGCTTGACTAATGGTAAATCAGTCTCATCTGTCAATCATGACGTTTGACCCAGGTTTTGTAGCATTGAATGAGTAATTAAAACCAAATTTTTGCAGCTATCCAAGAGGTGGTGATCAAGATGATTCGGCTTCCCTCATGTCGAGCCATCATGTCGTCCATCTCTTTATTCCATCTGTGGGACAGAGCCAGGCTAGCAGTTTCCCCTTTGTTTTCAGTCTGCATGCTGAACTAAGCTAAGCAGCTGGCTGTAGCCTCAACTCATAGAGTGATATGGATCTCCTCATCCAACTCACTGCTGGAAAGGGAGTGTATTTCCCAAAAACATGAAACTATTCCTTTAATGTCAATTTTAATTGTCTCTTATCTCAAATATCTGTGAAAAATCACCCATTGTACAAAAAGTTCTGATCCTGCACCTCTACGTCAGAGAGAGACATTCCAGGATTTAATAACAGCACACACGATTTAATATACCAGCAAACTGCCACTTGTACTCATGAGAGCCTGTATGTACGGACCTGAGGAAACCATTATAAGCCTGACTAACAGAAGAAAATGTGAAGGAGAAATGTCTGCTGCTTTATTGGCAGGCTCTTTCAGGAATGGAGCGTTTGCCGCTGGAAAGGTGTCATCATAATGTTAAAAATCTTGACTCAGATGTGGCTGCTTCATAACACCCCACACTGAATGTGAGAATTACTTTCACCGGTGGAGTGAGCTATTTAACTCCCATCTGAACTCCCATCACACACAGTGTTGTCAGAGCCTCAAAACAACATGTGCTGAGATGTAAAGGCTGTTATAAACCGGCCTAAGCATGACCCTTGTGCTTTCCTAGCTTCTTGCTGTGTGTGTGTGTGTGTGTGTGTGTGTGTGTGTGTGTGTGTGTGTGTGTGTGTGTGTGTGTGTGTGT